ATACTAATCAACACACCGATGCTAAGATGAATACTCATACTGTCAAGCTGCTTTTTTAAACGCATCGAAATCGATTCGAGGAAAAAAGCCATTTTCATCGTGCCTGCCGAGGTTTTATGGATAGGTGCGTGTAGGGGGGGCGACCATATAGATATATATATATATAAAAGGTGCGCAACAGAGTTTGCTAGAAAGGATCCGAGCTCAGGATTGAGAGCTGAGGGTAAGCAAGACTGCCAAGTGGCGAACAAGAGGCAACGGAACAGCAGTTGCCTTGGCTCGCTCTTGTACCCAGCGATGGGAACGTGAGATCCGGAGCCAGAAGAACTGAAAAACTGGAGTTGGCGATTGCAGTTCGGGGCCAAGGACACTTTTGCAGCCTATCTCCACAGGCACCATAGACTCATAGATGGAGTCCGTTACTTCGGCCGATGTTCCTTTCTCCGTAGCTCTGCTATGTTGCTCCAAGTCAAATCCCAAACCGTTTGTGCATCCAGGCCTCTGCACAGTTTTGCGGCAAGCCCTCAACCCTACATTCTTAAACCACCAGCCTTGAGAGAGGGGAAAGAATCCCTAAACCCTAAACTCCGGTCCTTAACAAAAACTAAACCCTAAACCGAGGGGTCAGTGGCTTTATTGTCTCGCTTAGGTCGAGTAAACCAGAAGTGCTCAGTTCTTTTTTCGGCCCGTAGGTGATGTAAGCCATAAGAACAGGGCGAATGGGTCTCCCACATTCGCGAGACTGTGGCGGCGCTCAAAGCGGAGGACATGAGTGGGCCTGACGGTTCAGCCTTGCACGTGACAAGTAGAGGTTGAGATTTCAGAAGGTTGAGGGAGGGAGGAAGCTACAACTAACTATTGCAGCAGGTTATACGGACACGAATGCACTTCATGTATGAACTTGAAGTGATTTCAGATTCGATCGTGGTGGTTGAAGCCGTGAGTGTTAGCTGGCTGAGATCGCGGGAGGATGAGGCGAGCATCGCTGCTGGCTGGGATGATTCTCACGGGGTGCCTTGGCACGTCTTGGGGACTCTTTGCTTACCACGCTCGGTGTTGGGGCTGAATTCAGCTTTGGTGAGTAGAGCGCTCGTACACTGAACGCACATGCCTCAATGCCCATTGGATAGATGCTTCTTGGCCGAACTGCCAGGCGTGCATTCGCAGTCAAATTCCAGATGCTTGACTTGCAGACAGAGTTGCGGCTTTGACGGCGAGTGTTTAGGGCTTAGGGGCTTTAGGTTCAATCCTACCTCAAGCTATTTCCACGGAGCCGACCTTAACTGTCCTCCTCCCGTAAACCATATTCACGGGAACAAGCGCACCGCTATTTCAGGAGCGGACCGGGGGCATTGTTAGAAGGGCAGGATGCCGCTCTATAGCCGCATTAAGCCCTGAGTCGTAAACCCCCAACTAGGTTTTTTAGCTTATCACCACAACGCCCTAGCCCTAGACCCCCAAAGCGTAAACCTTAGACCCCCAAACCCGAAGCTCACAGACTTTAGAACCACTGCTTGGACTCCGTGGTCTGAGGAGGGCTTGTTCAACGCCTGGTGTTCCGACGGCATCCCTGTGCAAGTTCCCGGTTCAGGCCCGGGCAGCATAATACTATAGGGGTCTTAGGTATCTTAAATCTAATAAGGAACCCCAAAAAATGGCATTGGCAATTATTTGGGCCCCCCCATAATACGGATAGTAGGAAATGCACCCCTGCTCCAGGATCCCACGTTGAAAGGATGTGTGTGCGTGACTGCAAAGTTTTGTAGACATGTACAGAAACACACGTACATTTCGAACTATTGGTTACTTGTTTGTTGTCTGCCTGCACTTGTCTCTACATGTGTGTGTGTATATATATATATATATCTATGTATTTTTGTGGGTGTGTGTGTGTGTACCTATAGCTGATGCGACGACACCGCGTAGGGCTCCCACGATTTGATGGTTCTGCAGGTGGTCGTTGACAGGGCTCACACAGGGCCTTTACCGGATGGCATGACGGCTATTGCGTTTTAATTGACAGGGATTGACGGAACGTGTTCTGCTCGTAAATACAACATGAGACATGGAGAAGGCACGTGCTGAACTGCATCTGTCTGTCTCGTGCGACAAACCACATCTGGCCGATGGCAGCCTTTCACAAGAATCGCAGCTAGAAACTCCTTGTTCAATCCGGTTTTCGCCAGTCCTTCGAGCATTGCAGCTGATGCAACCGCTCTTCAGACTGAGTCTGTTAGCCGCTCCGAATGGATCTGAATCCCTTGCCTCCAAAGCCCAAAGCCCCAAAAACGCTAAACCAGGAACCCTAAACCCGAGAGGCGAGTTCATCATGACTGCCGGCACTCACCAAGCGCCGCTGGCAATGTTCCTAGGAGTGCAGGTGCCGGGGGCGCCGACCTGGGCGGGTTCCCTAGGCTTGGCTTAGGCGCTTCTAGGGTTTATGGGTTTGGAGCTCCAGGTCCCTGAGACGTCAAAAAAAAGATACCAAAATACTACATAAGAACGATATTGCGAACAAGGCTGGCAGCGAAACGACAAGAGACTAGAAGCAGTTTCGACAGTCTTCTCGTCGTTGTTGTCGTACGCAAAGCCCGCCGAGAGTCCGGAAGCAGCAGCATTGGGATGGTGTATGGCCATGCATTTGGGGGTGACAAGCATGCTGGTTCGCTCTGGGGTTAGGGCTCCTGCCGTCAGCGAAAATACAGGTCTTTATAAGAATACCGCAAGGTCACGCTCGTGGATTATAAGGTTGCTATACGGGTACTCTAAACGTATTGAAAGGTTTGAAAGCAGATCATTCGTAAAATCCGCCCTGGCACCGGAAGTCCATGGCGAGCCGGTAAACCCTAAACGCTAAACCGTGTCGCAGGTTCATCCGCTGATGGGCCTGTTTACACAGAGCAAGGGCGTCACGGTGACGCCTCGCTTCGTCATCCGTGCCTCGTTGGGGTTTAGGGTTTCTGGGGGCTTGTCCTACATGATGCGAGTCTTTTAGCAGAAGCCGACTGCAACAAGGGCGGTAAATGGGGACCGATACTTTTGAATGACCTACTGTTACAAGGCTGGTGACGTGAGGATGCAGTCCCGAAAGTACAGCGATGTGATATGGAGATTCCGTACCCCTTGTCACGGCCGATGATCGCAGAAAGGGCCTAGACAAGACTACGCAGTCAAGCCCACAGGGAACCTGAAGGTGCGGCTGAGGCCGCAACACGCGCTGCTCGCATTGCCATGAAGCTGCCTAATTCAGATGGACTGCTGCCTATGGCTTTACGAACTGGACTTCGGGGTCGTGAGAGAATTGTCCGACATCCGTTTTCGTTCGATGAATGCACATGTGGTCATGTCCATCGAAGTCCCCATCCCAGAAACTCCATATCCTTCTTACGGATCCTTATCTAGCAGGTTTTCACAGCATCTGGATTGGAATTGAGTATCAGCCTGCATCATCGCATTACCTCTCATGCTAAGGCAACGCCTCTGCAAGCTACGTCCAGGTGTTGCCAGCCCTCCTGCCAACGCACCACGGCTCCCAACAGTCTTTCGTTTGACCTACTAACTGTCGTACTGCGCGGGCAAAGGCCAAAAAAGGCCAAGGCAAACTACAGGGGAGATGTACAAGATTCCTCCGTCACGTGATGAAGAGGAATGCTCCCGTACACTTGCGAGGGTCGGGTCGAGGGCTACTTGCTACTGTAGTACAATACACCCCAAACCCCTATGCGAACTTTACAAGACCCTAAACTACCCGTGTTGGATATGCTGGTTTTCGCCTTTGTCGCAGAGGCATAGGCCAAAAGCCTTGGTTGGGTGAAGGGTCAGGTCCACAGTTTGGTGTTAAGATGAAGTCAATGTTTAGGGTTTTCTGGGCTTGGGGTTTCGATGAAATTAGGGTTCAGGGTTTCGGATTTTCTCGGCTTTGGGGTTTAGATGAAGTGAGGGCTTAAGGTTTGGGTATCACTCGAGCCTTTTTGCTGCCCCAGGAATGAAGACAACTGGCCTCCAGTGCCCTCGCGGAGTGCCGCCATTGTGGAGGAGCACGCAGGTGGGGGCACAGTTCGACCTAAAGCGGCGTGAAGCTCTGGGTTTGCAGTCTAGGAACCTTGTAGGGTCATCAACGTATACGGCATACGGGCTTTCGGACTCTTTAGCATTCGGTTTTGCAGGTGTTAGGGTTCCGGACCAGCTGGCAGTCGTTCCAGTATGCTTCACCTTTTTTCCAGGGTTGCAAGCGGTTTCGGGTTTTTGCTGGGTCCGGGTGAAAAGGTACTGTATCGTTTGAAGCATATGCCTGGAAGAGGTCAGAGGCCCCTGAGCAAGCATCAACATTGGACCTTCCAATACTAGTGGTCGATTTTCACAAGGGAACTGGAGTATGATGCTATTGTGCACACCGGATCCCTCTTCTTGTTGTATAGGCCCTTGCATTAGTACTGATATCCGCCTGCTGGATTTCCAAGCCATGAGAGAGGCTGTTTGCACAGCACGGTCCCAGCAAACACCGGATGAAAAGGCATGCCATGCCACCTGAACCACGACACGCTTTCAGCCCTGCAGATAGCTTGTGTAGACACTCATCACAGTTGCCACGCCAACACAACATGATACGCGAGACATCCGGCCTATCACATAGGAGCCGCCTCGGGGGAAGCAAGGCGCCATGATGCCAGGGGGAGGTGCCCCAATGCCGGGTGGCATGCCAGGCGGTGCTCCAGCCACTGGGAGCTCAGGTATGCCAATGCCCATGATGGGCATGAGCCCCGGCATGCCCATGGGAATGAACAACATGGGCATGAGCCCCGGCATGAGTGGCATGGGAATGCCCATGGGCATGCCGATGATGGGCGGCATGGGTGGCATGGGAATGAATGCCATGGGCATGCCCATGATGCAAATGAACCCTATGGCCATGATGAGCATGGCTGCAATGATGAACAACATGATGGAACCACAGGAAGAGAAGACGGTCGAGCCACCACCGGATCCTATCGATTCGCGGGTCAGAGACATTTGCCGGCACTTCGGCATCGAGGAGAAGATCTGCGAGAAGCTTAATAAGGCCATGAAGACACGTGAAGACTTTGACGAAGACATGCAGGTTTTGTGGCACATCATGGAAAGGGGTGCCCAGAACAACAAGAAAGCAGTGGACGTGATGCTTGTTAAGATCCGGGAGCTTAATAATGGCACATTCATCGGCAAGGACCTGCTGGATCCGGAGATTAAGGACTTCGCTAGCAAGTACAACCTTGACGACCAGCTCCTCCACCGTCTGATCAAGACCATGAAGAAGCGAAAGCACCACAAGAGCCAGGACCTCAAGGATATGGACGAGCGCATCGGCAATGCCAAGCATCCATCGGGGCTCCTAGTTCGGATGTTGGAGGGCCTGGAGGAGAACGGCAAGATGCCCCCGGCCCCTGGCTGGCTCACGCAGAGCCAGCCTGGCCGCAGAGAACCCGCCGAGAAAACCCGTGCGTCGCGATCACGCTCGCGCTGAGGGTTGTCCGAACCCTAGCTCAGTCCAGGTAGCGTGTTTCACATCCTATGCCCCGAACCTCTGCTCTGGAGGTTGTAGCTGGGGCGGCTCACAGATCCTAGGCCTTCGAGGCTAGCAGTCTTCCTAGCTCAGTGACTTCTAAGATGTATCCTTTTAGGCAGGACCCAGACACACAACTAGCTTCCGAAAACCATCAAAGCTGGGCTGGCACCAACAGATCCAGTCCCAAAAGTGCGAGTTTATTCAGGGGTTTTATGGAGTCTTGTGGGTGTCTATTATGTTAAAAATCAAGGGTTTATCTTCTGCATCTAGAATCAAAAAAGTCTGCACGGCTGTTCTGAAATCGGCTTGCGTTAATGCACGTGTTTCAACTCGCATCTCTTCTAGACCGCTGGTGTGCATTTCAGGGTCGTAGTGCTTCGCCGCAATAGAGCCTAGGGAGATGTACGGCTCGGACATTGTTTTCTTGTTCTGCAGAGGCGAAACCTTACAGAAGCCTAACAGCTTTAAAACGCCAAATCCGCAACGCCTCAGACAGCACCCTCATGGTGGTCTTGAGCCGCTCCGTGCATGTGACCAGAATGCCTGGAGACATGCTTGGTCTGCCCGCGCGTCCGAGGCCAAAACCTCAGATTCGGGTGTTTGGTGAAGCTCGCATGGGTCGTCAAGGATGAAGTTCGTAAACGCAACAGCTCGACTAGGTATTCCAACTGTTGCAAGGAGGGAAAGGGCCCACAAAAAAGATAGAGTAATATATATATATGTGTGTGTGTGTGTATATATATATATATTTATTTATTTATATTTATATTTATATTTATATTTATATATGTGTATATATATATAATGTGTATATATACATATATAATGAAAAAATAATGATGTAATTAGAACGACGATCCCACCGTCCTAAAACATTCATCGGAAGCTAAACTCCAAGCCCTAAGCGGACACCCCTGCCGTGGAGACCAGGCCCTAAACTTTGAGCCCTGTGTAACAAAATCGTACGTGGCCAGGAAGAATGCTCTCCATCACGGACTTCATCGCACAGGATGAAGAAAAGGAGGCTTCGGGTCCGGGGTTGCGGCTTCTGTTTCTATTACGGTATGACTAGTCGTCTAGCTAGCGGTTTCACGATGCCAGTCGCTTTCAAGATTATATTGTTATTGAGACGGTGATTATTAGTGTAGCTGTTTTCTACTTGTCTATCTATCCCTTTTTGTTTCCGATTCCTGTTTCCGATTCGTGTTTACTCTTGGCAGGCTTACTAAAATTACTAAAATAAAACTACAGAGCCTCTTTCCAATTTTTTGCCGGAGCTGGGCTTGGTGAGGTAGTTTTACGAATGTCATTACTTCTCTGCAGCAGCAGCTTTAGAATTGAGGTAGTCGGGTGTAAGCATGTGCTGCCGAGCTGCCACCATCCCCCCCCCCTTCCCGATCGGAGGTAGTTCTTTGCTGAACCTCATGGTTGGAGTTGCAATCTTCCAGCCAGGCGATGTGGGTACCGCCGGGAGCAAGCTGCTACTCCGCATTCCTATCAACCGTTGTGTTCCTGTGGCCAGGCGCCCTTGCAATCAGGTGATGTACGGAAAGCTTTACAGTACCTCGTCAAAGTGTCACAGAAACTTGTCGTCGGCCGCCGATATCCCAAGCCGCAGCTCACCAGCCCCATGCCGAGGCTTGGCTTTGTTCCACTTTCCCACGCGCTGCCAGGCAGTGGGGTGGCATTGGTTAGCATGAGTTTTTTGATCAAGACAGGGCGAAGAACCCATGGACACTGCTCCTCTCATCACAACTAACAGCTTAACAGCACCCTCACTATCGTCATAAACGTTTTGTTTTTGGCGGCGGATGCATCATGACATGGGTGGTGCGCCTCGGCACGTGCCAACCCCAACCGTGAGCCTCATAAGGTACGAGCTTGGCAAGTTTCCAGGTGTAGTTCGCGCGAGTAATGAATATTGGTTGAAGCACTGGCCCTCACGTTTCGAAACCGGCTGGTGGTGCCCTCCCAAAACCTCCCAGACCCAACAACTGCCTGAAGATGGACGACCGAGCGAATCCGTGTGAAAGATCGCCCTCGTCGGTTGGTAGTAGCTTTGGCAGTACATCTTGCACAGCATCTAAAGTCCCGACGGCAGTTGACATCAGTGTCGCGGTTGGCATTAACACTCGCAAGATCTGTCGTGTCGATGCTTTGAAGTGTTTTTTGTTTTTGCAGTTGTGCCGCTTCATGCTCATCTTGTATCATTATGACAAGCATTGGCAAGCAATAAGGTCTTCGCCATGCAACAGTTCATAGGAGGGGCCCGGCCCCACCTTGCTGCTACCAAGTGCAATCAAGTCAGCTCCTGCCCGACCTCCTGTGCCGCCTGAATGATTCCAAAGGTGATTAGTTTGGGTTTCGCTCGAGACTGGGATGCAAAGAGCCTGTGATTGCTGGCTCTAGGATTCAGGGTTGAACTTTGTTCGGAACATCCTTCCACCAGCTCTTCCCGTATGAGACAAAGTGTTCTGCTTTTGCTTCTACTGCTCCTCCTAGAACCTAAACCCGAAACCCCAAAACAAAAAAGCCCAAACCCCAAACCGACAAACCTCACTGCTCTTCGAGAGGCATCGGAGCTGAGAAAGGGCGCCAAGGCCAGGGGCTCTTTCGAGCCTGTTTGGGTTCCTAAGGGTTCCTAAACCCTCGACCCTAAACCCCTTAACCCCTAAACCCCTAAACCCTAACGTCGTACGCCATGCCTGCTTTGCGAGTGTGTGAGTCGAAACCCTAACCCCTAAACCCTAAACATGAAAGATGATGCGCTCGACTTGGGATCCTGGAGCTGTAGCCATGGGTTCCTGTCTGGGGCGTTCTAGGCTTCCTTTCTGGGGGATTGGTACTTAGGAGAAGAAGGAGCTCCTAGAAAAAGGAGCAAATTTCATGCCTTCGTCCCCGTTACTGTTGAAGACTATAGATACCGTGGTTCTTGTGGTCTCCAAGATTGCTGTGATAACTGTTTCATCTTATCAGTGTGACAGAGTCTTGATATTATGATTGTTAATTAATTGTTATGACGCTAGTTATGATAACTATTATTGTTGGTATTGTTGTTCTGATGTTTATTTGGAATAGGGTTCTGGGCTCCTTCAAAGTATACTTATCATAAGAATCCCTTAGGAATAATCTTAGTTTCAATAAGGCGCCCTAGGGAATAATGTTAGTAATACTTATTGCCATGGCTACTATTCCCTGAACCCTAAACCCCAAACCCTTTGTCATGTTCAGGCCGTAGCTCTCCGTTTGCCCGGGCCACCCTTGCTTGAGTGTGGAGCTCAGCTTGTGCCAAGTGGTGTTTCGGGGTTAAGGTTCGGGTTCAGGGTTTGGGCTTTGGGGTTGAGGTTCGGGTTTGGGGTTTAGTGTTTAGGTCCAGGTTTAGGGCTTCATGACTCCATCTATCACGATTATCAGTTCGTCAGCTCTTTCAACAGCGTATCCGACAG